TATATATATATATATATATATATATATATATATATATATACGCATCCTCCCAACGGTTTACCGCCTCATCGAGGCTGAGACGTGTTCCTGGGTGCCGGACTGCGATGTACAGCGATGGGATTCGTCCCCCTGGCAGAGTTTCCCAGGCTGGGAAGGAGTCCGGCGTTTCCATCAGGAAGCCTAGTTAAGAGTAAACCAATACCAGGATCCGCCACCGTCCTGGTATTTGATATCAAAGTCGCATGGTGGCAAATCTCAAATCTCCCTTTAATCCACAAGAGCTGCGACTGCCTTGGTGGTGAAGACATAGGGCTCACTTTGACCAGGGTGACCTCGGGATTCCAAGGAACCATAATGGCTTAACAAGGAAATCTCCGAAAAATGGATATTATGCTGGGGCTTGCACATCTAGTGAGGACGGACCGTTCAAATATCAAGTTCAAGTATATGTATATATGTATATATACATATGTATGTGTATACATAAATATACGTATATATATATATATATATATTAGTCTGCCCTCCATATGGAAACACTGGACTACCCAGCTTGCACGAGCTTGGTTTGGATAGACATCTACCATTGAAAGCGCCGTGAAGACGCTGTTCATCGCAGTTCAACACTCAGAAGCATAATCTGACCAAATAGTGTATCCATTGTGAAGAAACCAATTTTTATCCTTACGTCATGATTCGTTTTTTCAGCCAGTGACACTGCAATGGCCAACTATCGAGCAATACGTATATTTCATGTTCTGCCCATCTTTCATTTATAGAGATGAATATCCCAGGTTAGACGAGATGTATTTCAAAACATAGTTCAGTCTTACTAATTAGCTAGTATTTATGACCATGTTTCTCAGATAATAAGCATCTAGGGAAGAGTCAGCGATTATCAACATGCTCCTTCACACCCATTATCTTCCATTTTAAAAGTTGACGTAAAGGTTTCCAAGTCGTAGATAAAATTATTTTACTTCAGATACGCAAAATTTATCCAAAATCCTTTATCTAATCCTAATAAAAATCCAGATCTCATTCGAGATGTCTCAAAAAGGCATCGGTACATTTCTTTCACTGCTTTATTCTCATCGAATTTGTCAACCTCCAGTTCACTCAATATGTCTTTCCCTGGTTAGCTTCACTAGATGTGAGTTCTTAGAAACTTGACAGTTTGCTAAATAGATTTTTTAATACAAGGCATAATTTCGAGAAAAAATGAAACCGTATTCATATCTTCTATGTGTATATAGGGACGTCATCTGGAAATAATTTCTAGCCTCTTCGTCAGCAATTGACGAAATAGCGGCCAACTAAAACAAAGAATTGATTGGCAGTCGATCAATATGTATATTTTACACTGTCTGTTTTTTAGTACCCATATTTATCTCTAACTGAAATAGTCACCGCACTATTCGCTGGTATTCTACCAGGAATGTTGTGCCTTATCTGTCTATTTTATGGGCTATTGCACTCATGGTTGAATGGGTTTGCAGAATTGATGCGATTCGGTGATCGACAGTTTTACTTGGTAATAATTACTACTGATACTATAGAATGGTTCTCGTAGCCATAGTAAGCAATATCTTGCTTGACGTTTCTAATCCCTCAGCAATTCGTTTGCACTTAGCGCTGAAATGTGACCATTATCAAACTCTGATTTTCAAGTACACTCTTCCATAGTAACATAACAGAAGAGTAATTCAACGAATGAGTAGAAAAAGTACACATAGTGGACAAAAATAGCTGGAATTTAAAAAATTGCTTAAGAACTGGTGGAATGTTAATAATATGGCTGAGTACTACCGCAATTGGAATCTTGTCGTACACGACTGGTTATATGCTTACGTTTACCGAGATGTCTCAAAGGTTGGACAGTACCAGATATTGCCCGGTTCATGTCACTAAGAAAAATTTAACAAATGAAATAAAACTAAAGAGTGAAACACTTGTAACTCAATTTACCCATGTCTCAGTTGATCGGCGGGCGTTGTGGTCTTCAAATCGCCCAAACTATCGTGTTCTTTCTCTCAGCGGCTTTTCATGAATATTGGTTTGGTGTCGCGTTCCGAGTATTCTATCCGGTGATGTTCATGCTTTACTTCGTTTTTGGAAGTAAGTCAGTTGAATAAAGCTCCGTATGAGCTACAGTAATGCAACAATAATAAATTGCTCGATGGAAAGCCGTTCTATCGTTCCGTTCCATTCTTATATAAGTGTAACACTGTCAATGAATAACTTTTAGGCATCTTCTTTTCCGTTTCCAAGCTCATCAAGAATAAGTCCATATGGAATACTGCTTTATGGTTTAATTTATTAATAGGCATGTTTCATTTTTCAAATTTACAACTCCTTTCTACTAAAACTCGGAACATAGTTAATAGGCTAGTAGAACCAATGCACATTTACTTCTTCCTCTTTAGCATCTATTGGTGGCTATTTTAACCATCTAAGCATGTTTCTAGCGTGAATTCAAAATGGAAGTAACTATCAGTATTACCTACTTGCATACTTGAATGACCCGTTTTCACTGGTTGTGCGGGCCCCAGCACAATTCCTACGTTTTTTTTCGGAATTCTGCTGGTTTAGACGCTGTGGTTCCTTGAAGTCCTAAGGCTAGTTTGGCCAAAGTCTGTCCCAGGTCGGCACCATCACAGGCAATTGCCGGTCTTGTGGAACAAAGGGAGATTTGTCACCATGCAACTAGTCTGATACCAGGACAGTGGTGGACCCTGATATTGGTTTACTCTTAGCTGGACTTCCTGATAGAAAAAACGGACTCCTTCTTAGCTTTGGAGACCATGCTGAGGAGAGATGAATCCCTTCGCTGTACATCGCTGCCCGATACCCACAAACTCCTCTCAGCCGCGATGAGTCGGTAAGTCATTGGGAAAAATCTCAGTATTAGCAAGAAAAATAAAGGAGCGCGGAGGAAATAGCAATGAAAATCATTGATGTCACTTAAACGTAGTACTGCCGAATCAAAAATTGACGAACTTTGAAAAATAACTGTCCCGAGCACATTTCTCCTAAAAAAAATGTTTTCCAGGTACTGGAATGTTCATTGCATTCTATGGGCAAGAATGGTACGCTCGCCAGCGCTGCGCTCCACACAGTAATCAGATTGCTGACTTCTTACTACCCAGACATTGGACGTGTCAACGGATGTAGCCCTTTTTGCTCAACAGCTTTAGGCTACCCACCCAACAGACAAACGCAGAGTCGATTACCTGGTGAATACAAGGAGAAAAACGATAGCAATACACCATAGAGAGAAATAAACTTCAACACACCTGTGAGATCTCCAGTCTTGTCAATCTTTCACTAATTCGAAAGGCACACACAAAGCATCCAATAGTCCTTCTTGGGCGTTGTACCTGGCTCAGTGGACCTTGTTTCTTCAAACAACACCTTTCCTAGTTATCGCTACGATACGAGATAGAATAGAGTGGCTTAGAAAACACAAAACTTATTTTTTTAAATTAAAGCTAAAATTAAATTGCATAAATATTAAAACTACGAAAAAAAAACTAATCCCGTTAACGGGTGATTGCTGATAGCAAAAGATCGATAGAACTAGTTGAGAGACAGGAGAAACGAAGGACCCGCATGGTGTGGTGGTGAACGCGTTACTCCCCGGAAAGGACAATAGCGCGTTCGTTCCCCACCGCAGACACCTGCGACCCGGAGTTTTGCAAATATCTCAGCATCATTGGAAGTTATATTTCACAAAACTTAGTTTCAAATGTGATGTTTCCCAGTCCTATTCACAAAGTCAAATCGTTGTAATCCGAATAATGGCAGCATCTATAACGTTTAAAATCCGAAAGAAGGTCTGATTCATGTCAACATACGAAACTTGGTTGTATAGAGCCAAAATTCTATGTGTAGCCCACCCCTTATCCTAACCTATCCATTTTAATAGTGGAAATTATGTCTGAAAACAAACGAATTCATAGACAACAGAACCAGGAATCCCTCGTCGCTCATCAATTTAAGAATATTTATTGAAATTTAAGAAACAGACAGATTACGAAAAGAACTCGAACTGTAGTATCTTAAGTAAACAGATCTTACAACGGCAACGCTCTACCTCAGCATATTCATACGATTTAAAATACCCTTCTAAACTGGAATTCTTAAAATAAGAGTGCTTAATTAGAATTCTTCAAATACGAGTTCTAAAAAAGGGTTATTGTTTTAGCCGGGTACATGCTAAAACTAGACTATTTTAATCAATTAGTAAAAGAAACCTTAAAATGAACGCAACATTATTGACAAAGTAGCGCAAACACTCTGTACAAAAATGAGCAATCTGCATATGAGGTGGAGTACGATTATGTCAGATCCATTAGTGTTTACTTTATTTCAATTATCCTCTTAGGATAACCCTTCAAATATCTCTGGGAAGACTACAATCTATCAGGATATCCGAGAGTGGGAGTTTATCGATCGTTACATTGCTTATGATACGAGGAATGAATACTAGAACAATACTGGTTCCATGATTAGGAATTAGTGACTTGAAAGCAAAAAGATAAAATACTTAAAACAAAGGAGTTACATATTAGAGTGGGGTACAGGGTGGTAAATAATTCAAGAAGATATTTGGGAGCAGGACATAAGCAAAAACTGAAAGTGGAACAAAGGACAGAGAAAATGCGGCAGGAAACGGAAAGAGGAAGAGGGAGGAAGAAAAAATGAACTTCCCATGTTAGTTCACCCTTGTAGTTTTTAAGTTAAGAACGAAGTATTTGCATACTTACGATGGTGTACTAAGTTACTACATCTTCTCGTACCTAAACACGTATCCGCATTCCTTACACTTCTTTGTGTACTCATCCTTCGCACTGTCATAATTCTCTTTCTCATAGGTATGCTCATGAGCACCTTCTTCCTGAATCTTCACACCTGACAGACCACGTATCTGAAGGTAAGCGACTGTAAGTGACCATACAAAAACAAAAAAAATACACATTCAATAGTACATTACCACTTCGATAAAATTGAAGGCAAATGTTAACCTTTTATTTGCTGCCTATCACAATTTGAATCTTTCCTCCCATAATTTGCAACTTTGGTGTCCCCAAGTCAAGCCCACTGACGGGTGATTGCTGATGGCAGCATTATGTTGAAAACTAGCTGAGAGAAACGCAGAGCAAGGATCTTCGTGGTGCAGTGTGCAATTCGCAAGTCTCCGGAAAGGGTAATCGTGGTTCCTTCGGGTCCGGGGTCCAAGCACTGCGAACATTTCAGTATCGTTGTGGTAGTAAAACAAAACTTTCGAGAAATCTCATTTCAACGAAGTGGTTTTTCCGATATTATTCTAAACCTAGTGGATTACGAAAGCATTTTGTGAGGCAAAACTTTTAATTTTTACTTCTCTTAATGGTTCAAGGCTTCAAGAAAGCGAGTGTTTCGTCTGAGTAGAGGATTGAAGTACATGGAAATAGCCAGAAACCTAATTATGCCTACATCGCCAATAGCCGCTGTCTTGGGAGAATCCAATTTCTAAGATAATAAAACTTTTCCCGATCCATAACGATCGAAGAATACGTGTGATGACGAATTACGGACGTCATTTTACTCCAATTTCGTGGTTCCGAAAAAAGAAAAAACTACCTGAGCAGCAAAACATCAGTCGATAAAGAATTTTGCTGCGGCCTGAACAATTCGTAAAAACGAGCCATTAAAATATATGAATGGCTATTATCTATTACTGTATTGTACTTGTATTCTATTTATGCATGTACGTATTTGTATTTCCTCCCAACAGTTCACCGCTTCATCGCGGCTAAGTGTTCCTGGGTGGCGTGCTGCGATGGAAAGCGGGGGATTCATACCCCAGCAGAGCTTCCCAAGCTGAGAAGGAGTCCAGCATTTCCATCAGGAAGCCCACCTAGAAGTAAACCAATATCAAAATCCACCACCGTCCTGATATGGAACTAGTAGCATGGTGGCAAATCTCCCTCTGATCCACAAAGACGGAGACTCTCTGTGGTGGTGACGACGCTGGGCAGACTTTGGCTAGGCTGATTTCGGGACTCCAGGGAACCTCAATGGCTAAACCAACTAAAACTCCGAAAAAAGGGAAACTATGCTGAGGCGCACAACCAGTGAAGACAGACCATAAAAGTATCCAAGCAGGTAAGTGTTGTATTTAGATATCATGGGTTATAAACAATAACCTCACCAATACAAAATATGTTAAAACAAAGGACATCAATTTTTCTCGAAGAAATAAATCCGAAATGGTCTGAATTTCATACTTACGTGTTGTCTCATCTCCTTCACTTTCTTTTCAAAATTCTTCTCAGCACGAATTTCTTTCTGCGAAGTTCGTAACCTTTTTTCCGCTTCAAACTCCTCCCAACTTCCATAAACTTCCAGCATTCTTTCGACCACCTAAATAGTCGCCTCATTAACTCAACTGAATACGATGAGACTACTATAAGAATGTGAAATACCTGACACTTTAAATAAAGCTTCATGTCACCATAGCGGGGATTGTGAGGATTCTTCTTCGACCAATAACGTAGTGGTGGCTTTCGTAGATCGAGATCGCAGTCTTTCAACAAATAAAACGATTTCACCTCAGTCCGAGGAATAAGCCTATGTTCACCCAAATCGTCTCTGAAACAAAACACTGAAGAAACAAAACAAAAAAAATAACAACTGAATGAGTAGATAATCTTCGTCTACAGCATTTTCTTCACGAAGAGTAGTAAGAACGGTCCATAGTATCATACGATCCCTATAGTCCATGATGATCAACAGAACAGCCAAACATAACTACCGCTGATGAAATCTGATACCTGCAGGTATCACATACTGGATGGTTGTACCGCTCCCACAACCAGGAGTCAAACAACGGCAGGCTACATTTAATACAGTTGTCAGGTGCATCATAGTTAGCAAATTTCGCATCAGCTCCTAGAAAACAGAGACAAAGATCCAGGTAGATACTACCACCCGATCATAAAGCAATGAGATATAACATTTGTTTGAATAAACAACTGCTGGGTAAAGGATAAAAGATAAAACTCTCGGAGTTTATCCCGTATCCTTGAGGGATGCGCTATGCATTCGACTTCATTAAGCAATCATTAGGCATTGGAGGTGACTGAATGCATATAAGGCCTATGCAGTGAGTCCCAGTGGCATACCGATGTATCGGGCCAGTGCTCCTATCCTCCCAGAGAAGTCTGGTAACAATTTGCCGACCCACGAGGAATGTAAGGCCTGGTGGGCCTGGGTCGCAGGGATGTGTGTTGCACGTATGTATTGTAGCGCGCCTCTGACCTCTGCGCTACACGCGCCTCCAGCTGCTAAGTAATATACTAAAGATATGCTAGATCGGTATGAGGTCTTCCAGCGTAATGGTTAGAAATGTCCTGCATGGTTTTTGGTTCATCCTCGTTCTCTGATCTAAACCAGTCCTTCAACAATCTAGGGTGGATAAACTGATACTACACTTTTCTGGATGGAAAAAAACCTCGGTTTGATGCATCGACACGTCTCTGCAAGTCATTCTATTGACCCAATATCCATCCAAAGTACGAATGGAGCAGAATGCATGGTGCACCCCTAAAGGAGTGATTAACGCTAAACGTTTTAACCCTTGACCTTTTAAGAAAGCCCCCATCCATTCCAGCAAGGTAGCTCCACAGACCCCATGACAACTTAGCACTTCACCTTTTAAACCAGCTCCAGAAAATAAAACAGAAGTAACACTAGATTCACGCACTTCTTTGCCTTGACTCAATGATTTGCTCACGACGTTCTTGATACTCATCGTCATCCTCCATAAAACCTCCAGCCGTACGAAAAGAGGGTTGATTCTGCCTGAATGAGCCACATTTGAGCAATATGTACGCCTAAACTTATTACATCCTACAAAGCTAATGTGATGAACTGTGAAATGGTGAACATTTACTGAGTACTAACGACAAATTCTGAGACAATGCTTTATATTCCTCTTGAGCAAACATGAGGTGTTACTTTATTCTTTATTCCGTTAAAGCTGACGTTTCGGCGGATTTCGCCTGCCTCAGAGCCTGGAAACGTCAAGTTGACAGCAACCTACTCAGTCAAGCACTTCCATAACCAAACAGAGAAATCGTCAAAGCAAGATTTCAATCAGATTGAACACAGAATAGCTTCTTTGCACACTCACCGCTTCCTATGACTCACCCACTGAGTATGTCACGTGGAGAACAACCACACAGAATTCACATGTAAGCGTAATGTGCCCATTCCATCAGGAAACAGGCTTATATACTGCACAATACCACGCGTGATAATTAGGCATTGCTCCTGCAGTTCATTTTCGGATTTCTGGAATTAAACCAGAACGCCTCGAAAGTTTTGCGCGCTTGTGTTCTCGACGCCTGTGCGAGGATCTCCTTTAAGATGTGCGGAGACAAATACATTGGTGAAACCACTGTGTGCGCATAAAAGAACACCTAGCCGACAAACATAAACCAAATACCTCGCCAGGCACGCATAAGACCCAGAGACATAATGGGGAGAACTTTGAAGTACGTGTCACGATCCTCGCACAGGAATCGAGAACACAAGCGCGCAAAACTCTCGAGGCGTTCTGGATTAATTCCAGAAATCCGAAAATAAACCGCAGGGAAGAATGCCTCATTATCACGCGTGATATTGGACAGTATACAAGCCTGTTATTCCGATGGGATGGGCACACTACGCCTCCATGTGAATTCTGTGCGGTTGGTCTCCACGTGACATATTTAGTGGAAAACTCATAGAAAGCGGTGAGTGTGCAAAGAAGCAATTCTGTGTTCAATGTGATTGAAATTTTGGTTTGGCTATTTCTCTGCTTGGTTATGGAAGTGTTTGGTTGAGTAGATTGCTATCAACTTGACCTTTCCAGGCTCTGAGGCAGGCGAAATCCGCCGAAACGTCAGCTTTAACGGAATAAAGAGTAAAGTAACACCTTGTGTTTGCTCAACAAGAATATAAAGGATTACTTGACCAATGCCGAGGTTAATAGAAAGTCGGACGTGGGATCTGCGATTATGCTCTTCTCACTTGAAACTTGAAAGAAGGAAATCATGAGTGCCTCTAGTCGTCTATCACGTTACTTAGCCTTCCAATGAGAAGATAAAACCCTTTTTTTTAAATCTTAGCACTCTCTACAGAGTGGACTGAACAGCTGAATCGGAGACTTTGAACGTAAAACTCGAAATGTCATACTTGTACAACTTCTCCACGATTGGAACCTTGTCATCATTCGATGGGTTAAATCGGCGCTTTGACATTCTTCTACTTGAATCTACAACACATATAACTGAAAACAACTCAAACCATCTTATGGTGAAATTCGAAAGATGAAGAAAAATTCACTTAACCGTCGTCTGATCCAGTGTGTGTGTCGAAAATGCAGAAACCACATTTTAAACGCCTTTTTCCTGATGCATTTCAACACCTTGTTTTGTGTGTGGTTACCAAGGACTTGAGAGGACCCGGATCTCTGCCTATTCTGTCGAAGCCCTTCTGGAACGGGTAGCGAGCTTTATTTCGTTCAAATATTGGAGGTTTTCTTAGTAGACGTGTTGATACTAAAGGTTCTTGGGCTTTAATTAGGAAAACAGTTTTATATCTTTCCTGTAACCTCGGTATGACTAGTCAATATGTATTCTTTCTTTTATAGGCTTACACAAGGGTGATGGACAACCCTTATTCGGCTAACTTTTCGGCGTCTTCATTTTCCTTAGAGCCGACCATTCATGGTCCCCAGTTTGTCCTTGGCTCAGTTACAACTGTGGACCACCGTGTCAGATCATAGGCTGTGATGAAGACGACGAAGTTGAAACATTAGCCGAATAAAGAGTGTTTTACAGACTTTTAGTTTACGTTAACATTACCAAAGAAATTGTTTTTCTCCTACGAAGTGTCCTTGATATGTCACAGTTGTGGATTTGTTAGTGTTTTGATAGCTAACATATGGGCGTAGTCGGTACGTTGATTCTGAAGAAGACAAAGAAATACGTGTTAACAAACTCATATCAGCTTATGAGGAACGATTCGTGGGAAAACAACTATGATTTGTTCTAGTGGACGCTTGTAAATCTTCTAGCTGCTAATCCACAATTTTCCATCTAGTACATTTCCGATCGATTCCATATCTTTCTTACTTGGATACTTGGTTGGCCCATGTTCACTGATTGTGCTGGCTCCCGCATAATTTCCATCTTTTCGGAGTTCTGCTAGCTTAGCCACGATGATTCCCTGGAGTCCTGAGGTCAGCCTACCCAAAGTCTGCCTCTGTCCGTCACCATAATAGGCAGTTGCAACCCTTGTGGATCAGAGGGAAATTTACCACCATGCAACTACCTTGATACCAGGACGATGATGGATCCTGGTATTGCTCATATATACTCTTTGCTGGGCTTCCTGATAGAAACGCCAGGCTCCTCATCTTTGGAGACACTGCTGGGTGGACGAATCCTACCGCCCTATATCGCAGCCCAACATCCATTAACACCTTCCAGGCACGATGAGGTGAGATACCGTTGGGAGGGATCCCATATCTGAGGCTCATATTTGTTTTTGTTACGCGTTGTTCTGTTCTCCAAAAATTTCCCGTATTTTTTCTTTGTTCAGTCATATAAACGGTCAATGATGAAGCGTTTCATTTTCGTTCTGTTTCATTCTCATCGTTTTTAAAAGAATGACATAATTTGGAAGTTCAATTACATTTAACGCTAACCGTCACTGTGAAACCGGCCTACGACATGGTTGTTTGTGGCTACTATTACTAATTATAGCTTATTGTTATTACTATTACTACTTATGGCTTATTGTTATCTTCGTTATGGTTTTTGTGAATGGACTTCGAAGGTTATTGAAAATATAACCACAAGGAAGCTCAGACAGCAGAACTCGGGATACCATGTCGTACCCTGCCATGAAGTACGGATAGGCAGTAAGTAAAAGTTAGGACATTGTTATGATTAAAAACGAATTTTTTGTTGAATTTATTTGCGGCAAGTTATTATGTTCAACACAGTTTTAATGAAAAGACGAACTTTATGCAACCTATAGACTATAGTTTCAGTATATCATAACTTATATTAGCATAGTAATATGGCCTCCCAATGTTTCATCGTTTCACCGTGGCTAGGAGGTGTTGCTGGGTTTCGGGCTGCCATCTACAGCAAGGGGAATCATTCCACCCGGCAGTGTCTCCCATGCTGAGAAGGAGTCCGACATTTCCATGAGGAAGCCCAGATAAGAGTAAAACAAAACCAAAATCCACCACCGTCCTAGTATCGAACTAGTCACATGGTGACAAATCTTTCTGTGATCCACAAGGGTGGCGACGCCTGTAGTGGTGACGACCTGCGACAGACTTTGGGTTGGCTGACCTCTGGACTCCATATAAGCATAATGGCTGAAGCAACGAAACTTCAAAAAAGTGGAAATTATGCTGGGGCCCGCACAAGCAGTGAGGACGGGCCATCCAAATATCCAAGTGTAGTGTAGAGTATAGAGCACAGGCTCCAAGGAGGAAATCACCGAAAAGTCGGCCATCGACCAACAACACTAGCAACAACGACAAGGACAACAACAACGAACAGCAGCGATAACGAAAACTTGTGCTAATCTCGAATCAGCTCAAAAAAGATCAGTACATAAGATGATATAAATAAATATATCAACTACTTTATGCCGAGGTTTATAGAAAGTCGGTTTTTTGAATTATCCAAGTATAGTGATATCGTCGTATAGTTGGTATATTATAGTAACTCCCACGTCCGACTTTCTATTAACCTCGGCATTGATTGAACAATTCTTTCTACTTTTGTTCAGCAAACACGAGGTGCTATTTTATTTCTTTATTTACGTACAAGCTGACGTTTCGGCGGATTTCGCCTTCCTCAGAGCCTGGAGCGCATTACGCTTCCATGTGAGTTCTGTGCGGTTGGTCTTCACGCGACATACTCAGTGGAAGACCCATAGAAAGCGGTGAGTGTGCGGAGCTCTGTTAAATGTGATTGAAATCTTGGTTTAGCGTTTTCTCTGTTTGGTTATGGAGGTGTTTGACCGAATAGATTGCTCCCAACTTAACCTTTCTAGGCTAAGAATTGTATATTATAGTTTTAATCGTTCTCTGAGTATGCCTACTGACGAGTTTTATTGACTAACGAAAACCTGTTGTCCGTCATTCCATCCTACCAAAACGTTGCTTACTGCTTCTGTTATCAGTTGGCTTATCATTGGTAGTTCACTACAGCGATGGTGTTTGCCTACTTATCAACAATATCGGCCTTCGTCTCTCTCATATGAGTCTTCTGTTGTTTATTTCATGTATGTTGTCTGGAATATTTAATTTTTTTATTAGAAATAAAATAACAGGGTTAATCAATTTGCTAGATTTTGGAGTCTCTGTTGTTTAAATAAGCTTTGATTTTGGAGTCTCTGTTGTTTAAATAAGCTTTTTCATTAGGTTTGATACTACTCAATATTTGATGTGTCGTCAACCGCTTTGGTCGTTCGTTTTCGTCGCTGTTAATGTCCATAATTTTTTTTACACTGGTAGCCTTTAAAGTTTCGCAGCACTTCTTGTCTTCATGTCGATTACTGCTATAGAGCGCATATGGCGCAGTGGTCGTAGGCGCCCTGTGGTACACACATGGGATCGACCCACGCGCCCGTGGCTCACCAAGCCTTCCATCCTGCCGGGATCGGCAGCTTGGTAGCAGACTTGTGTGGGAGGATAGCAACACTGGCTCAATGCATCGGTAGTCCACGCGAGTTATTGTAAAGACCAGTTATGAATTCAGTTACCTTCAACGATGCTTAATGAACTCGAATACATGGCGCATCGCTCAGGCATTGATCAAAGCGGAGACCTTTATCCTTTATTCTTCACTGCCATAACAATCTGTAGTTGATCTAGTTGTAATCATTTTCAGGAACGTGTCTTGGGCAATGAACTGTTCTTTGAACGACTCTTCGGTCGTGTCAGTCATGATGTGAAGGTTGAAATCAATGGCGGGTAGTGAGTGTAGAGTCAATCTTAAGTGTGCTCAACAGTGTTTCCCATTATCCTATTCATAAATAGCCGCACATTGCTGTGTTTTTTACAATTGTATCACCTGAATCAACATTTGATTTTTACTACATCTTTATAAGTCATGGAGCGACCTGTCACCTTCTATCGCTGGAATTGTCGCAGCTTTGGAACAGTCAGAATGTGTTGATGACAAGTCTTTTTTGACCAACGATGGTGGGTGATTGTTTGTCTCAAAAGGTTTTTGCTGGGAACGCTCTGGAACAACTAACCTGGAATTACTGGAAAGCCGACGCGGCGTTTAGTACGCTTATGAGCAGAGAAGGCGAAGCTTAGATCTACTCGTGGATCCAACCACTTTCATAGACTACAGTTGCAATGCAGCGAAAGGAATGGAGACCATATACTGAAGAAGCAATACGTGTCATCTCTGATTCTGTTGGCTAATCAGTAATTGGAAACTATGAAATCTCCATTGTTATCTATGTCACACCGTAATGTTCAGTGGAATCCGCTTACTTGACAGACCCGTTGAGCGTAGCTGTTTCGGTCTAAGCCCCATAAAATGCTTTATTTTCACTGTTTCCGGCGAGTTGTCGCCATTGTTAGTCTTTGGATTGTCGTGTAGGATTACTATTACATAAAGTGAAGGGAGATGCAGAACTCGTCAACCTGGTTTCACTTGCATGGATGCTAAACATCTTACCGTACGTTATAATTCAAAACTCGTTGTTACGATAGGCTGGTAAATCACCAGGAATACTCTTCACCTCTAATGTGATATACTTATTCTTCTCATTGCTTTTGACGATATCACAATCGGTAATCATGTACCGTTCATTCCGGAGCTATAGAAATAGCTGTACCTCTTTTTATACCGTGTATATTCCCTGCCTTGGTGTCATCTTCGAGGTGAATGTATCCATTGTAGATATTTCGTAACATAGTAGTAACATGCCTAGGTATAGATGGTATTTGCCAGGATATGTCTGAGTATTAATCTCACTGCTTAATCGTGTGTGATAATCATTACGTTCTGATATAGTTCTGTTGTGTAGAAAGGTTCAATCTTCCCTTATTAAGGTGTCTCTCTTGCACAAATATAGATACATGAGTTCTAAAATGACTTGTTTCTGCGCTGCTAAAGTAATATAAGACATTGTTGCTGATTATGGAGGTGGCAAGCGTCTTTGCCTGGTAGAAGAGCACTGTGGCTGGTATGCGTTGTGTTCAGTGCATACGCTTTGCCGCGAAAGACTTGTCCGTCGTCGATGTGTTGGCTTGGACTATAAGAATCATATTATCATGAATCCTCGAGGTTTTTCTTTTATTTTTTACTCTGAAATACATTCAAATAAAGGCGTTTAATACTACGTATTGACTCATTACAGTATACAGTGGGAACCTTTCTAACGCTTTTCCGACTTTTTTTTTCTTTTCTTTAGCATCTATTTGATGAAATGTGCATGTGACGGTCTCTTTTTACTGCTTTATCTACAAAAATTTCTATTTGAGATGGCAATGCTGATGTACAATGCGGTGCGTATAGCGACGTGTTTGAGGGGTTCTGCCATCCAAACACGGACACTCTTCATTTCATCGAGACTATTTGCCGGTTGGTCGGATTTACGTCTACTTCAATTGTTGCTTTGTAAAAAAAAACAAGCCTCTGTTTACCAAATGCAAAGTTTACAGAAATCGATTCTGTTGTTTTCAAGAAAAAAAGGAAAAGCTGTTTCCTTTTACGGCCTTTGCAGAAATCATTTTATTAACGTTATAATCCTCTTTATAAATTCCGGCTTAAAGTCATTTCCACGTTTTTTATTATAAATAGATATTCACCGAAAGTACATGAAGTAAATAGATCTATTTTTCGTGAGGCCGTTTTGGAATAGAGGCAGTAGTGTAGTTAACGTCTCTAGTCCGTCAACCACTGGTGACAATAGGCAGTGTAGAAGTAGTTATGGTATTTGTCAACGGCATGGTAGACACCGGCATCACACTTAGTTAAGGAACGTTGCACAAAAAACATCCTTTCATAGACTTACACATTCTCGTTATAAATACGGAAGTTATCTCCGTTTGTAACTTATTCATTTTATAATACAATTAATCACGAATATATGTCGTGTTATTTGACGACGTTCTACTGTCATCCGGTTTCTGAATGATTGCTTCCCTGTAAAACATAAGTTTGCTCGGTAATAGTGATCAGATGATTTCTGCAGCATTAAAACTACCTTGTAATCTCCCCAGACTGACAGCGTAGTCTTTTCTGGGCGTGAACCACTTTTTGCCATACTCAGTTCCGAGTAGGGGTACGATCTATATCTTTTTTTGGTGTAACGTAATAGACGTCCATGGGGTTTAGTGTTCATCCTGTTCTTTTGTAATTGACCTGAAATGGTCGAGTGGCAAATGCCTAGTGTTTCCTCGATCTTCCAATTCACCGAAATCGATGGCGTTCATCTAAAACAAAGCATTTTTCATTGTTGGTCTTAGATGTCTTTCAGAATAGAACAGTGCACATCACCGATAGCAAAAATGTGTTCATAAGAGCGTTCGAATTACCAGTGACATATGCAGCCCTCATTTACAAAGGATCTAATATTTCGAAAATCCTTGTTTTTCTCACCATTCTTTTGGTTTTTTTAAAATTTTGTCGATCGCTCCAAGAGCGTAAACTTATATATATATGTATATATAAATATGTATATATAATGTATATATATATATAAAGTATATATATATGATGCATAAAGTTAATATTAGGTCAATTTCAAAATGCATTGTTACCAAATGAAGTAAACACGCGATTGTATTAGCTGAGCAGCGAGAATATTCACCTTTAATATGCTGCGCTTCGAATATTCCTGCTATGAGAACCTTAAACTTCGTTAATTAAACCTTCATATATGGAGAATTATGTAAAGGATAAAAGGATGAAGCTGTCGGCATTGATCAATCCTGAGGGATGCGCCATGCATTCGACTTCGTTAAGCATCATTGGAGATGATTGATTGCGTGTCTGACCTTTACATTGACTCGCACTGGCCTACCAATGTATCGAACAAGTGTTACTATCCTCCCAGAAAAGTTTGGTACTAATTTGCCGACCCCGAAGAGATGGAGGGCTTGGTAGGCCTGGGGCGCGGGGATAGATCCCATGTATATTGCAGGGCGCCTCCGACTACAGCGCTGCACGCGCCCCTAATTTTCACGGCCAACGCACCAGAGTATAGCACTTGCTATATTCTGGTGCGTTGGCCGTGAATTGAGCCTGAGTTCCCCGTGAGGGAACCGATCCGAAGCCTTTACCTACGTCAACGATCGAAAAACTAAATTACGTCCTTGTAAAAAGGATAAAAGGACAAAGTTCTCGGTTTTGGTCTATTCCTGAGGCTTGCGCCTACATTCGAATTCATTAGGCATTGTTGTACGTGATTGAATGCATACTCGGCCTTTACAGTGACTCGCGATGGCCTACCGATGATACATCGAGCTAGTGCTGGCATCCTCCCAGACGAGTCTGGTACTAATTTTCTGGCATCCGGAGGGATGTAAGGCTTGATAGATCTGGAACGCGGGGATCGATCCCATGTGTAAAGCAGAGTGCTTCCGATCACTGCGCTACACGCGCCTCAAACACATGTAACCAGTAATAATAGACGTAAACCGTTAACAAACATCTATAGAGGATGTTATGGGATTTCTTATAAGACTCGAAGTTTTTTCTATGCGATACAAAAGATTTTTCGTCGGATAAAGCTATTCCTAATGTATGCTTCAGTGAATGCGAGAAAATGCGTCAGATAAAACAGTAAACGGTGAATTTAGCCCAAACAATTTGTCCAGGAAGCTAATCGGGTAAAACAGGAAGGATGGTCTGAACGTTTGAACCAATGGAAAGAGAGTGAGTGTAGATGTGTGAAGATAGCGAGGTAGAGAATATTCAGAATACTTTTTAAGATAGAAACTAGTCTATGTGGAGAAACTTTTGTAACAGTCCAGACAACCCCAATGATGCTGAGATGTTTGAAAAGCTACAGACCGCAGGTGTCTGTTGTGGGGTCGAACTCGCTATCACCCTTTCTGGGTGCTAATGCGTTCACCACCACACCATCAGAGTCCTTCGTTTCGCCTTTAACATTCAGATTTTCTGACTGTTATCTCTCAGTGGACCCAAAAAAAACTCAAATGTCTGGTTACAAGCCGCAAATTTTTAATGCATTTTGTTAGAAAAGTTGGCCAAATAAGTTTTGTAACAACCTCTTCTAAACTGAGCAATCTATGCGAATTTATTGATTATTCACGCCGACGTTAATTTAAATTCGGTTTAGTGTGTTATAAACTTTTGCCTAAAATTCCGATTGTCTGGCAGTAAAGTTTTAAATTGCGCAAGAAATATATTGAAATATTAATTCCGGAGTAAGCTGACTTTACTTTTTCAGTATGTATATTTAGGATTTTGAATTTCTAATTTGTTTGTGACATCACATTGTACATAATCGCTGCTTCCTGATAACTGTTTTGTTCTAGAGCTCAAATACACAAAGAAACATGAATGGGTGTCTGTAGACGGAGAAGTTGGAACTGTTGGAATCACTGACTTCGCTGCGGTGTGTCTTATGAGCCATAAAAATCTTGGATTCAAAGAGATATTTTTGGAAGCAATATTTATATGGGTGCTTAGTTACGTATTGTCATGAACAGTTAGATACCAGCATAATGTCTACTTGACTAGTACCTTAGTGTTAGAAATTCTCGAAATACCATAGCTTTCAATGGTCGTTGCTATAGATGGTCGTGAAATTTGGAGTAACTGAGAAATTTGCAAGCTTAGGATTTGATTTCTTTCAAGAATAACGGTTTTTTTCTACAGATTTGCTGTGCTTACATTTGGGCTTCCAGGTGGGAGTATCGAACTTTTTGTTTTGAGGACCCTTTCGATGGGTGAACCTATACTGTACGTGTCATATGGGCGCACTAGAACAGGCCCCACCACTGTGAGGTGGTAAACCATTGAAGCTTCTGCAGTAGCATTGAAAGTATTGTAAGACATATCTGGTTGTATCTCATCTGATAAGGTTTATAGTTAGAAATACGAAGTGCTCATCCACTTTTAATGGTGATATTATTGTAATGGCGTTTAGGAGCAGCTTGGTGACATTGTCTTTGTTGAATTGCCCGATGTGGAGACGAAAATTGTGAAAGGAGACGCAGCAGGAGCCGTGGAAAGTGTCAAGGTACAGGGAAAATTATACTTTTACAAATGTTGAATCACGTGGTAGCAGTTCTGCAACACATTTTTGTACATTATTTAGGCTGCTTCTGATATCTACGCACCAGTGTCTGGCGTTGTGACAGAGAAGAACAACATTCTTGAGCAAGAGCCAGGGAAAATAAATAAAAGTCCATTCGATGAAGGTGCGCCTTTCATTTTCTCTTAATTTCTACATCACTTAACTTGATGTCGAGTGTCAACTTTGGTTGCGTGGAATATATTTACTTCGATAATTGGACGGCCCGTCTTCACTGGTTGTTCGGGTCCCAATATATTCTTTATTTTTTGGAATTTTTCTGGTTTAGCCATTGTGTTTCCTTGGAGTCCCGAGATCTACCTAGCGAATCTCTGCCCTAGGTTGTCCACCACCATAAGCAGTTGCAGCTCTTGTGGATCAGAGAGATTCACCACTGTACGACTAGTTTGATAGCAGGACGGTAGTGGATTCTGGTGTTGGTTTATTCTTAGCTGGGTTTTCGGGTGGAAACGCCGAACTCCTTCTCAGCTTGGGAACCCTGCTGGGAGGATGTGTGCCCCCGCTGTGCATCGCAGCTCCACACCCAGAGACACCTCCCAGCCGCAATGAGGCGGTGAACCGTTGGGAGGGCTTGGAATATAACTAAGCCAAATTAAAGGGTTATCTTTATCACTACTAAATACATCAATGTTTCATATGTTAATACATGGTATTTTATCAGAAGAATACATACGTCTGTTCAAAAACTTATGTTGGAGGTTGAAGTCAAAAAATCTGAAAATTTCCAGGGTGGTTGTATAAGTTAAAGCTAACGAATATAACTGAACTAAGTGAACTGTTGAATGAAAAGGATTATGAAGACTTCAAGAAGGAGGAGGAGGGTCAAGAGAACTAAGTGCTTGATGTGTTTCGACAGGTCTCCGATCTCTTATACTCAATGCGCAGTTTTTTTAAGTCGCCAGGTCTGGTACATTTCGTTACAAAGAGTTTAGGTTCAGTACATAGGTTTTATACATGTGTTATATATTGGGTAATCTTTTAGTCTATGACATGAATATTCTCTTTCTCTTATATATATTCTCTTTCTCTATATTGTAACATTTATTACTTCGGCGTTCTCACAGTTTTTTGAGGTCTGAATTTTTTGTTGTGCAGGTAAATTCCGTGCTTTTTGTTAAGCCTTGTCTTTAATTTAACATTGTGAAGTGGTAAAACTATTTTTCTTCCTGGTAGCCTTTTTTGCAGTTGCAGGTGTGTCACTTATGTTTATTAAAAGATTGTTTTAAGGATTTACATTGCATTAAATAACCATTTTCCAGATGAATAGATAATCTCCATTTAGTACTGTCGTATCTTGTTCCGTAGGCCTGAAAGTGTTGCATAACCACTTCTTCATACTTTCTTTTTAACTGGTTAAATGTTTGTGACCTAGAAGATGGACAAATTATGGGTTCTTTCGGCGTTTCGTGGTCGACCAATACCATGTAATCACATTATTTTGAAGTGTTGGAGGAAACTAATGGTAAAAAGTTCACTTAGAAATTTGAGCAGTGTTGTGCAGTCGATTACAGGTCTGTTCATACATGGAGAATTGAATCCATCCCTATTGATCCTGAAGAACTAAATACAATTTCTGTCCACTTTCCACGTGCTACCTTTGTCCATGACAATGATTTTCGTGTATGGTGAAATCTGCGGGTTTTTTTTTTAGCGATATCCAACTCCTAAACATGGGGTAGTATTGATCAGTACGAAACGAGAAGAGTAGCATATTTCCTAGGTAATCATCTCTGTAAAGAACGTCACCAGCTTGTTTTCCTCTTTAGCTGACGTTTACTTTCAGCAACAAAACAGTCTGGATTGTAGTCAGGTAAAGTTACAAAGTCTTTTGTCCTATCAATCAGCGGTTTGGTCATCTCTGTTGAAGGTATTGGGGGCATTCGTCGCAATTTTGCTTCCTTTCATAAGTAGTTCGTGGTTTTCAGTTGGGTCTTCCCCGATATGTCACTTACGAAATCGACCGTTATCACTTTTTTTTTTAATGAAATGGTCATTTTAAGTATGGATCTTAAGATTACAGTATCCTCATATCCAATGAAACTACTTTTTTAGTCGCATATGGTTGATGAGTCGTCAACCATATGCGGCTATAATCAGCTGTTCTAAACTTCCTCGTTGGAAGTTACGTAAAAAGCGGCTCTGAAGAAGGCGATACTGCCGAAACGTCAGTTAGTGTTGTATTGCATTGTGTTTCTCTATGGAAGTAAACGTTTGCTGTTTAAAAACCTCACGATTGCTGAGCAAGAAAACGACGTATTCATATTCCAATGCCGAGGTTCATAGAAAGTCGATCCTGGGAACTATTTAACTATTTTTTCTATTGAAAAAGTAAATGTGCGACAATGAAAGAGGCTTGTTCTCGACAAGATTCCAATGTGATGAATTTCATCCTTGTGCGGATCTCTTTTTATAAATTTTCTGATTCTATAGTCCGCTCCACTTGGTTCTATCTCTCCGGACTTTGAAGTATGCGTTAAAAAATATTTGTGCATAGAACAGTTCGTTGAACGTCATTCTCTCTAGATTTTATGAGAATTCGTGTGTTGAGACCTCCACAGTAGTGCAGGTTAACAAGTAACTGTAGATAATATTTGCTTCCTTCTTACGCAAACGTTGGGAGATGTCGATACGAGCTGTTAGGTTTTGTGTGGGTAGAGTGATAAGCACTGGGTGGGTAAGCAGTGAAAACCTCTTCATCTGTGCATTAGGTGATGTGTTGTTCTCAATAAAAATAATCTACGTGTCGATATCTTGCTCTTAGACGGTTACATTATGCTTGATGTGACCCGAATAAAACCTGAAGATAGGTGTCTGACGAAACAATCCTTATGATGCAGAGGTAAAATAATAAAGTGTGAAGCTTTCAGCATTGCTTAGTCCATGAGTGGTGCTCCGTGCATTCGACGTCATCAAGCATCGTTAGAGATGACTGAATACGTAACAGGCTTACATAGTGATTGGCGGTGGTTCACTGATGTGTCAAGTCAGGACATCCGTCGTCCCGCACAATTTTGGAACTAATTTACC